CAAAAGTTAACTTCGAACTCATGAGTGTGAGAAAATGATCTGGCTGCTAATGGGATATAGTTGACATAAGCAGTTTGACTGACTTCTTCACTCCCTTATATTAGCATTGCTACTTTTAGATAAACTATTCCTGAAATGATTAGTGTAGGAGGATGGGTTTAGTCTTGTATCTTCTCCTTTAAAGCACTCAGAGTTAGAGATCCCAGAAGGATCAGTTTTCTCACTTGTACTGAAAATGTCACTCTAACAGTTATCTGTCTGCACAGTCAAGTTTTGAGAAATCTTTTGAATTTACCGCATTCACACCATTCTCCATCATGGTGCTAAAAATGACTAATGCAGCCTGTAGACTGGGAGGCTGTGATAGCTGATTATCTTTTCCAATCATACACTAACACTCACACACACACTCACATACACACATGCTCAACTGACACAAATTCTTGAAGGTTTAAAATATCCTATATGCTAAATGGAATGTGGAGGCATGGGCATGCCTACAGCACATGGTAATAGTGTTGGTTTCATTATGGTCGGCTCTGTCAAACAAACAAACAAAAATGGTCTGGTTGTTTGACTGGATAGGCTGATCTTGTTTTGAATCAAATGGGCCACTGTAATATATGACTTAATTTTGTATTTAAAATAATCCCTCTCTGACATTAACATTTTCAGGTGCTTTAATTTTATCTTCTTATCATCTCTGAGAAAAGTGAAGTGCAGCATTTCCTTTCATAAATAAGAGAAAACAGGCTTAGAGAGATGATGACTTACCCAAAGTCAGGCATAAGGTCAAAAGATCCCTTTCTTTCAAGGGCCCTAATTAGTCACTATAAGTCAGTATAGGTTCACTAGAACCAAATCATCTAAATGAACATCATTTTCTTTCTTGATGAATGCTATACTGATAGCTACAGGGACTGTCATAAACATAGCCATATCCTCTTCCGAGAAAAACATATGACAGCGTGTCCTGTGAAGTCTTTCAGGGAATGATGGATAAGTGTGTGGGCTGAATGATAGTTATTAAGAGAGGTGGGAGCTGATTAAATCTAAAAGGGAAGGATTAGTTGATTGTCATTAACTTGCAGTGAGGTCTTCAGGAATTTTCTATAGTCTCTATTTTTGGTCCTGTCCAATTCGACAACTTATCAATTAACTGGAAGAATTGTAGATACTTGCTTACTAAATGTGTGGATGACACAAAGCTAGTAAACCAGTGAAGATTCAATGGATGACAGAATCAGGATTTAAAAATGTGTTATTTAGAATGATGGGCTTACATTTATTAAGGTTAAGATAAATTCCTGCATTTAATTAGAAAAAAACTATGATAAAATTAGTGGATCTAAATGGAGAGCAGCAGCTAAAACTAGAAACAGCTGCAGGTTTTAATTGACCATAAGCATCATGCAACTACTGAAAAAGTTAACACAATCCCTGTTGGAATTCAGAGATAGAGAGAGATAGAGATAGAAATAAGAGAGAGATAGAGAGAGAGAGAGAGAGAGAGAGAGAGAGAGAGAGAGAGAGAGAGAGAGAGACTAAGAGAGAGAGACCAAGAGACCGAGAGACCAGGTTGATAAACATATCCTGGTTGTGCCCACCTTGAATGTTGTGTTTGATTTTGGAAACCATATTTTAAGAAAGACGATGACAAATCGTTGCTTGTTTAATGGATGGAGGGGGCGTTTAGAGTAAAAAGTCAGGTAATCAAGCAATGTGAAAAAGTCAGGGTGGTTTGTTGATAAAATAGAAGGGGATTATAATAGTTATCTTTATTGAGCACTCACCACATGTATTAATTAGTTAACCCTCAGAACAACATGAATTATTTACTGTCATTATTGGTATGGGAACTGAGGACATATAGCTAGACTACCTGGATTCAACTCCAGAACCTACTCTCTTAACACTGAGCCACATTATTTCTCTGAATATTTATCAAATGTTTGAAGAGTTGCTGTGTGGAGAGAACATTCAACTTATTCTGTGGAACATCCTTCTCAACAGATGGGCAGATTCAGGTCATATTTCAAAGTAGAGTACTTTTCTAGGTACTAGGAGATGCTAGGACATCTGCTTATTTTTGGTACAATGTTAGACTATATAACCTTTAAGGTAACATCCAATTGTAGGATTCTAGCTTATTGGGATATGATTTGATATAACACAGTATTGTTATAAAAAGAAAAATAAACCTTACAAGAAGAAGTAAATTAAATTAATTAGTGCTACTTTATATGGTACTCTCTTGAATACAAGGTTAGAGACTGCCCCACTGCACATCTCATTTTGCTAAGATGTCCTCATCATTTGTCCTTAGTAAACCTTCTTTTATGGGCAACAAACTCTGCCAGAATTATATAAAATTTGTTTATCCATATTTTACTTTATCTAGAATATTATTAATAACATCTTATATGCAGACCCCCATCCAAGGAAGTCGTATTGCAGAAATATCAAATGTTATTAAAAAGCCATTACATTGGGTGACTCCTAAGAGCTGTTTGTGTGTTGAAATCAATGCTGAGATGGGTTTCGGAACACTGAGAGGTCAGATAGTACTTGCGATGACTGGAACCCTTCACTTACTTTTTTCTGCCTTATTTGTTACATTTAAAAAACAAGGATCCTATCACCTTTATAAGACTTTTGTAGTAAGTGCAGTAATGTGTGTAACAGCTCCTACAATACTATGCAAATTCTCAATAAAAATTTAGGTTTTCAGTGAAACAGTTGTGTATAATAAAGAATTTGCTTGGCTTAGTCCCTAGTTCCTGGGAGGTAAATTCTAAGCCCTTTGAATTTCCTGATCAGAATATCTTTGTTACTCATGGAGAGCCTTCTCAAGCCCCACCTGATGGTTTATGTTAAAGAGAAGACTCAGAATGGGGGCTGGCCAGCCAGGAAGACAAACCATGTGATTAGAGGATTGGGGCTTTGAGACTCTTGATATCAGCTCAATTTCTGGAGCGGGAAGAGATGCTGGGGATGAAGTTCAACCAAAGAGCCAATGATTTAATCAATTCTGCCCACATAATAAAGCCTCAGTAAAAACCCTCACCCTCAGATGAGTTTCCCCATTGGCCATACTCTGCATACTGTCACACACTGATGTGCCAGTCAGGAACTGCATCCTGGAAGATGACGGAAGTTTTACTTTTGGAACCTTCCCAGACCTTGGTCTAGGTGCCTCTCCCTTCAGCTCATTTTGTATTCTTTTGCTATCAGAAAGCTGTAATCATAAGTATGCTTTTCTGAGTTCTGTGGGGCATTCTAACAAATTATAAAACCTGAAGGAGTCTGCGGGGGACCTCCAAATTTAAGGTCAGCTTATCAAAAATGATGACAATCCTGGGACATCCGAACTTGTGGCTGATGTCTAAAGTGAGGACAGCCGTGTAGAGAACTTATTCAGGGAGGTTTGGCATAACTCTGGAAGTTGCTTTAAGCATGCAAATGAAAAGTTTGAAACATAAACTGGTAGTCATATGTGACTTTGCAGCTCCTCAGAATATGTCAAATGTGGTTCGGTTGTAGAACTTTATGTTTTTGACAAATCTTCAGAACATTTTCATTGAGTAATGAGAAGAAAAGAAACATGTTTAACTCCTAAGGTGTTTTAGGGAGAAATACAGGTAAGACTTTTCCAGGCTATCTTATAAAACGCTTATCCCAATGCTTTGTTCCTTGTTTATACATAAAGAATCTAATCAACCAGAGAAGCCAACAACTTGCCACGCACAGTCAGTTATAATGGCTGGGATTGGAGCCCTTTGAGAATTGGCACTGCATCTCACTTAACTCAGTGAGCCTGGCATATAGTAAGTATCTAATCCATGTTTTTGCTTCACTTGCTCAGTTAAGTAGGAAAAAGGCAGGGTTTGATCTTGTTAATAATCAATCATGGGTTGTAGATTTATTCCCTAAAACTCTATTATACTTATCATTGTATTTATCACTCTTAACTTTATTGCTTTCCTACAACCCTAGAAATTTTATCACTGGTTAGAAATGTTATTCTGCTTGCCATGGTACCCTCAGTGTCCATATCACCTGGAACAGACTGCATCCTGGATATCTTTTTTTTGAATGGAGATCTACTGTTAAAAAGCATTTCTCATTCATAAAAGTTTATTTTTTCTGTAGTTTGTAAGTCAACAAATTAAATTTGTCAGTTACAAGAGAATATAAACCAACACTTTCTTTACATTATTTCAAGTGCACAACTATAAGTATTTTTGAAAGTGGAGAAGAATAAGTTTGTGGTATTCTCCATAAAATAAGCAGAAGCAAACTTAAAGAAGTTTTAAACTATATTATCATCTTAAAACAAAGAAGGGAAAAAGTCTGTAGATTTAAAATACAGCCAAAGACATTTCACTGTGACAGCTAATCATTATTGTTATCCTGTTTGATTTTCCTACCAACACATATAAGAGTAGTACTTTTTATGTTAGCATGTGAATTTTTTAGTTTGGTTGCATCTCCCGACCAAAATATCTACGGGGAAAAGTTTCCAAGATCATCTGTTATTCAACACACAGTTTCTCTTTGGTTGTATAGACAAGATTTCTGGCGAATCACGAGGAAAAAAGATCATCCAGATACCCCAGTCTCCCATATTTACACAGGACTTACTTTTCTGAGGATTATCTATGCTAGCTATGAGGCATTATTGAATATGGCCTCACTGAAAGACCTAATACGAATATAATGACCAGTTTGTTTAAAAACACACTAAAGAAAGACAGCAGACGGGGTCTCCTAAGTAGTGACATTCTGTAATTACCTCCTCCTATCAAAAGAAAAACAATTCCCAGAAATTAATGAATACAGCAGAGTCTATTTCCTATCTTAATTCTATCTTAATTGCAAAAGTGGATCAATTAAAAAAAAAGAGTACACTGGCAAAGCCCCTCTTTTTAAGGTTTTTGCCTCCCAATTCTCTAGTCATCAAATCAATATATGTAAGCATACCGTAAACCTATTTTTACCTTCAGAGATGAGATATACCAACTCCACCAGCAGTGCCCCAGTGAAACAGCCAAATCCATTGAACGTGTCAAAAGACTCATAAAGTTTCCTCTCATGGTACTTGGAACAAATCTGTATGATATTACAGAGACTGAGAGAAAAAGAGAAGATCAGAATTTAGAACATTCTCTCTAACATACTTTCACAGATACTGTTCAAGTTAGTGTTGATAATATCTCAAAGAAAGTTTGCTGATACAGTTAAAATTTGGGCTGGGCTTTGTTAAAATTACTACAGTAAGATATATTATGATCTTAGAATTTATAGACAGCTACAAGGAATGGCAAATATATATCCTTGTACAGTTACTAGAAAATTTTGATCACTTGGTAATTTTGATCACTTAGTAATTGAGTGTCCCAATATATTCACCCAGATTTCACCCCAACTTGAATATTTCTTATGAAAATTGAATTGAAGTGAGGCTTGTCTTAGATGATATCATGACAGTCTATCAATAAAGTCTGAAAACCATTAGGTGTTCTATGGGAAACTTGAATTTTTCACATAAAATTAGCATGGAAATTAAGAGCATGGGCTCTGAAGTTAGATAAGACTGTGAAAAAATCCCAGATCAACCATTTACCACCTCTCTGAATTTAGGTAGGTTATTTAAACTTTTCAAGCCTCAATGTCCTCTATAAAATGGGAATCATCACTACTCACTTGCAGAAGCACTGTGATTCTTACTTTCTATAATATATGTAAAGTGCTTATTATGATGCTGACTTGTAGGAACTAAATAAGTTAATTTTTTTAACAATATTAATCTTACCAAAATAAATAGCTCTAACTTGAGCAATGCACTGTGCAAAGCCCTTTATGTGCATGTAAATCATCCCATTTAAGGAGAGGGTTCCTAAAGACAGACTACACCTTGCATATTGGGTGTCCAAATTGGTTACCTTTTCCCTCCCAAGTCATTGTCAAGGTGATAGTGATGATAGTGCCAAGAGGTTAAAAGAAAATTATGAAGGAGATTTTATTTTAATTTCACTTAAAATTGGTCTTGCCAGTTATTTTTGGGATCTAACCCCAAAAGCAAGGGCAACAAAAGCAAAAAATTAACAAGTGGCATTACATCAAACTAAAAAGCTTCTGCACAGCAAAGAAAATCATCAACAAATTGAAAAGGCAACCTACTGAATGGAAGATGATATTTGCAAATCATATAGCTGATAAAGGGTTAAATACCAAAATATATAAAGAACTCATACATCTCAATAGCAAAAAAATCCCAAACAACCCTGTTAAAAAATGGGCAGAGGATCTGAACAGACATTTTAAAGAAGACATAGATGACCAACAGGTACATGAAAAGATGCTTAATGTCAGTAATCATCAGGGAAATGCAAATCAAAACCACAGTGAGAAATCACCTCACACCTGTTAGATTAGCTGTTGTCAAAAAGATAAGAAATAACAAGTACTGGGAAGGATGTGGATGAAAGAGAACTCTAGTTCACTGTTGGTGGGAATGTAAATTGGTGCACCCACCATGGAAAACAGTATGGAGGTTCCTCAAAAAAGTAAAAATAGAACTACGTTATGACCCAGCAATTCTACTTCTGGGTGTTTAATATGAAGAAAATGAAAACACTAACTTGAAAAGATATATGTATATGGAAACAACGTAAGTGTCCATCAGTGGATAAAGAAGAAAATGTAGTGGTTTTTTTTTGTCTCTTTGTTTTTTTAGTGTGTGTGTGTGTGTGTGTGTGTGTGTTAGCCATAAAAAAGGAAATTTTACCATTTGTTTCAATATAGATGGACACCTTGAGGGTATTATGTTAAGTGAAATAAGTCCAACAGAGAAAGGCAAACAGTGTATGATTTCACTGACATGCTAAATCAAAAACAACAAAACTCATAGATACAGAGAACAAAATGTTGGTTGCCAGAGCTGGGGGTGTCGAGGAGGGGATTGCTGGAGAGCTGATGGAACAGGTGAAGGCGTAATATACAGCATGGTGACTAGTCAGTATTTTTGTAGTACATATTTGAAAGTCATCAAGAAAGTAAATCTTAAAAGTTCTCATCACAAAAACCCCACCAAAATGTGTAACTTTGTATGGTGACGGATGGTAACTAGACTTCCTGTAGTAATCATCTAGCAGTGTATACAAATATTGAATCACTAGGTTGTAGACCTGAAAAAATATGTTATATATCAATTATACCTCAATAAGAAAGAAAAAAATTCACTTAAAACAATTTTTTATATCAAAAATAGATGAAAATAAGTATATATGATTTTGTACATACCATATTAACATAACTATATTAAAATATGCATGGCTATCTTAGGCATACTTTCTAAAATATTTATGATATTTATTATAATATGATGTCTGGGATTTGCTTCAAAATTATATAGCAAGGGGGAACGGGGTATGCAAATGAGGGTAGAGATGAAACACGTTTGGCTGTGAGTTGAAAATTGTTGAAGCTGGAACATGGGTACACAGGAGTTTATTACACTAATCTCTTTTTTGTATATGCGAGGTCAAAAGTTGCAGGAAAACACATTAAATAACAAACAGTTTTAGCTTTGAGTGGTTGAATTGTTGGGTTTTTAATTTTCCTTCTCTTTACTCTTTTGTACTTTGCATATTTTTCTACGAGAGATCATAAATATATATTGAAGCTCATTTAAAAAAGAAAAGTGGTGATAGAAAACTGACATACTGTAAACATTAAACCTTTAATTTCCTTCTCTGTAAGAAGAAAGAGATCTTATCTCCTCCTTTCCTCTCAGGAAAATTTTACTCTAGTTTGACCATCATACTTTACCCTAGTAAATGTATCTGCCCAACACTTTTAAACCAACTTAATAATGTAAATATATTTATGTTCCTTGCTGCATTCAACATTTCCGCTTTGCTTTCTGTGTGTCCTTCACATGTTTTTACTTATCCTTCAACAAACATTCAAAGGTGTCCTTATGTGTAGCCTAGGAAATGTACTGAGCGCTGGGGCTGAGGGTGGGAAAAGGTATTAGTACACCTTTCCTGGATTTTAAACTCTGGGAGGGCAGAGAGCAAAGATATGCACAATATTAAGGGCAGTGCTAAACAGGCACTGTTTATGTGATAGATAGAATACTGTGGAGAAGGGCTTCAAATATTGGTGGCAAGGGGCTCTCAGTACCCCCGCTTTCTTGTGCAGTGCAAATTGCCAGCAGGAGCCTGAAGCCAAGCTGCAAGGTTTTTTCAGGAAGATCCAAAGGAGAAAGTGAGGGAAGTGCTGAAGAGGCTTTGAGAAGAAATGATTCACAGTTATAAAAAGGATTTGGCTTATGAACTTCCCTCTCTATAAATATGAGGAGACAAACAATGGGCAGAAAGACTAAGTAGGCCGATTTCTTTCACCGAGAAAAAGCAGAACGTATGAGCCCATTATTACTCTGCTAGTTAATTATTAATCCTGTGCTTTTCTCTTGCTAGAACTTCTGGTGTGGTATATAATTCATGAACACACTTTGCCAGCCTCTGCCTGCTGGTTAATCTCTCTTTGGTGTCATGTTAGCCGTTTTGAAAGCCTCCGGTTCCCTTTCATAGGACTTAGTGTTTCAAGTCCGCAGATCTCCATATTCAGGCATCTTCTTGTACATTCTGATCTTTTTCGACTTTAGTGATCATCAACTTGATGTTTTAGGCTTCATGATACTCCTTTTAGCACTTTAGAGTATAGATATTATCAACAACTCTGCCACTACTCTAAAATTCTTATTTTACTATAAAGACGCAGTAAAAAACTATTCAAAGTGTATGTGAAAGCAGATCTGCTTGCCAAGGAGAGCTGAAATGTGCCTCCAGGTAGAGTCTGGTTAGTGTTTGCAAAGATGCCCATCACAGCGTCTGCAGAATCTACAAGCTGCGGGGCCATAACCACCTTCCTGAGGCACCGGGTACTGGGGACACATTGCCGGAAATGTCTATTATGCCAATTGCTCTTAAACAGTTAAAATGTGTTTATTATGTTTGGTAAGAAATTATTTTGAACATGTGGAGGAGAAATACCACAGTCCCAGAAAATGGAACTTTATCAGATTATCACTTTCAGATCATAATTCCTTTCTCATGTCTAAAAAGCTTCTGATTTGAATCTGGTATTATCCGATTACATGCCCTAATACTTCTTTTGTGCTGTCACCTGCCAGTTTTTAGGCCAGTTTCCTCTATTATTCAGTCATCAGTTCCTCTCTTATTGTCACACCCTCTAGTACTACTCCTGCCTTAATTCTTGGTAATTTTAACACACATATAGATCATCCTTCCATTCTGCCAAATCTTGGTTTCTCACTTCCTTGACCTCCTCTCCAATGTCCTGTCCTCCAATCCACCTTAACCATTCATAGCCATGGTCACAGACCTTGTACCCCAAACCAGGGGTTGACAAACTGCGGTCAGGTAAGGTCCAGCCTGACACACCTATTTATAAATAAAGTTTTATTGGAACACAGCCACATCCATTCATTATATGTCTATGCTGTTTATACACCACAATGACGGAGTTAAGAAGTTGTAACAGACTGGTGTGGGAAACCTATTTACTATCTGACACTTTTCAGAAAAAGTTTACCAACCCATGCTTTAGATGAATAATTGTAATCACACCATAATCTCAAGTTTGTGCACCCCTCTTTGACTATCACCTTCTGTCTTCCCAGCTTGCTCTCCAATACTCAACCACACAAATGCTTGGACTCCTCCAAGACCTCCACTCCATTGCTCCTTTCATTATTTTCACCTCTTTCATGCTCTTCCCGTCCCCCCTGTTTTTACCCAAGTTAAGTTTCATAGTCAGTTGTTATTAATCATATTTTTTCACATACTCTCATTCCCTTGCCTATCTCTTGCTTTCTGGAACTTGATTGGCAAAACAATTCACTGTCTGCCATCTCTTCTCCTATGTCCATACAGCCTAATGTGGCAGAAGAAAAACCCATAACCTCGTTGACCAACTCATTTTAAATTCCTGCCCACAAACCTCAAATGACCTTCTAATGCTCCCTACATTTCCCTTGTTCATTCACTCTCCTATGTCTTAGACAACAACTTCACACCTCTCCTGACTTCTCAAACCCCCAGTATGTCCTCCTCATCCTCACTCACAGCTCATGGACTAGCATCCTACTTCACTGAAAAAATTGAATGAGCTAGAAGAGAATTTCCACAGGATTCTCACACCATAGTTATGCACCCATGAGCTTCTGTGCCCACATGCTCTGCCTCCCAAACTGTTGCCATTGATGAACTCTCATGCAACTACCTAAAGTCAAATTCTCGACTTGTAAGTTATATCTCAGCTTCTCTCCCTCCAGCATTTCCCCGCTCCCTGATACCATTAATTCCCCCTTTATTGAATTATGCCCACCAATATACTGTATGAAGCCATTATGTTTCCTTCCTTAAAAACCACACACACACACACACACACACACACACACGACACAAACATACACACACAGCTCTCTTAACCCCATTCCTTTGTCAGCTACTGTTCCATTTCTTTGTTCCCCTTTGCAGCAGAATTCTTCAAATGAATTGTCCCCAATTCTTTTCCCATTACCCCTTCAATTTATTCCAATCAGGCTTCTGTGCATTGCCAAGCTCCACATAGAAAAGCTCTTGTCAAAATCATCAATAACCCCCAAATTGCTTAATCCAATGGTCAATTCTCAGTCCTCATCTTGTTTGATCTATCAGCAGTGTTTGACACAGTTAATTGCTCTCTCTTCCTTGATGCCTTTTCTTCATTTGACTTCTAAGATATTGCTCTCTTGGTTTTCTTTTTTTTTTTTCAGTGGTCACTTATTTTCTATCACCTTTACAAATCTCTCATCTCTGGAATGTCATAATAATGGAGTACCTCAGGACTCGGTTCTTAAACCTGCTTCTTTTTCTACACTGACTCTCTATGTAACCTTAACTCCCTTGGTGATCTCGACTAGCTCTTAGCTTTAAATACCACTGATATGCTTATGACTCTCAAATTTGCATTTATCCCCTACTTCAATACCAAATTACAGACTTGGATATCCAATCCTTACTTATTATAATATCTCTATTTGACATCTCATTCTCAAAATATCCAGAACTAAACTCATGATCATCTCCCAAAAGCTTGCTTCATCTGTAGCTTTTTATCACTCTGTAGATGGCAACTCTGTCCTTGCAGTGGCTCAAGTCATAAACTTTATTTTCATCATTAATTCCCTCCCCCTCCCTCTCTCATGCTATTGGTTTTATCTTCAAAATATAAACAAACTTAGAGCATTTCTCACTACCTATCCTGCTGCTTCCCTGGCCTAAGACACTGGTTTGTCGTCCCTGGATTACTATCTCAATGCATTTATCCTTCTCAAATTTCTAGTGAAGTGGTCAAGGGGAAGCATGTTATAAAATGTAGTTGGAGTAGTACACAGAGTCCAAATTATGTGTAGTCTTATTCACCATTTAAGGAATTTATCTCCAAAATCCCACTGTGGAATCTTAAGCAGGGAAATGATAGGACTTATTTATTAGGAAGAACATGGTAGCTGTTTTGAAGAGAATGGATATGTGGAGCAGGAGAGGAAGCATAGAGACAAGTTTGGAGGCTCTGATAGAATTTGGGCTAGAGACTAGGCAGATATCAAAGGAGACAGTGAGACATAGCCAGATTTAGATTATATTGCAGAGTAAAGACTAGGACTTGCTGTTGTCTTTGGGGTGAGAAACAAGAGAAAAAAGGGAATCTGGGTAACTCATGTGAGAAAGTCATGATTCTGCTCACACTACCAGGTCTCCTGGTGTTTGAGTTGTGGTAAGTTTAGTAGAAAGAGCTATGAGCTTTGCTTGAGCCCTGAGTCAGAGTCTGGCACTGTTAATTTATGTGAAAGACGATGATGATGATGATGATGATGATGATGATGATAACAACAACACACACTATAGCTGCTAATTCTTGAGTGCTGTGCTGTCTATATACTAGACATTCTGCTTTTTCCTTTACATAAAATATTTAATTTAGTCCTTACAACAACCTTCCCCATTTTATAGGTGATGAGAAAGGCTCAGAAATGCAGAATTATTTTGCTAAGTTCACATAGCTAGTCAGTGGCAGAGCTGGGTTTGAACTTAGATCTGTCTGACGTTAAAACCATAGATATTAACCACTATGTTGTACTGCCTCCCAGAAGAGTAATTCTTGATTTTACAGTTTAAAACACCCTTTCACATTTTATGCATTGCAATGTCACTGAAATATTTTGATGAATTTTAAAGTGACCAGTTTAATTAATATCAGTAATCTAGACAATACAGAAAACCCTTGATATTTAATAAAGTTATTTTGAACGTGCCTTATGAAACACTAGTAATCACACTTAATTTATTGTAATTTAATTTGAAGACACTGAGTCATGTGGAACATTGCCTCAAGTTTTCATTTCATTTGCATGTTCATAGACTCTCAAAGTACCTTACAAAATGTCATTTTTGGAAGGAGTATGTATGTGAGTTCATCTAGGAGTGAGAAGAGGGAAGGTAGAAGGGAAAAGGAGAGTTTTCATCTGAATATATTGGAATTTTCTCCTAAGTTTTAGCAGAATGTTTTCCTCCTTGTGTATCTGACCAAAGGTTAAAGGTTAGTCTTTAAAGGTTTGCCTTTAACAAGGTTAGTAAGTCTTTCATTCCATCTACATTCAAAATTAATAATTATTCTGTATGTGGTAGAAGAATGATGAAGAAAAATTAAACATTTTTTTTTAAATGAGGGTGATAAATAAATAGGCTTGTTCTGAAACGTCGAAAATTTCCAGGGAGTGAATACATTGCCACCCGTTTGCAGTGATGTGTTCTGTATAGAAACTCAGTGTGTTCTAACATGAAGTGACACAGTTGTTACTTACAGGCTGAATTGACCAGTGTTTCAGCCACTCCAAGTAAAATGTACTGAAGAACCAGGTGGAAACAGGGCTTGAAGGAAATGAGGAGAACTTTGCCTGAAAGAGGCTGTTTCACTGGAGGAAAGTGTTCCCTGTATATTTCAAAGAAGCCAGCTACCATCACAGACAATGCAGCAGAAAGATTTCCAGCAACTGAAGGAAAAGAATGCAAAAAGAAAAAAAAAATAAGGAAAGAGCCCCAAATCAGTGTAATTGGCCATGGTATTTCTTACACATTGACTCTAGGGCATGTTTCTCAACATTTTTTGCCCTGGGGACATTCAGGTGCCATCTAACTGTGCTGCATGACTGCCTTTTGCTTGGTCTCTGGTAGGCAGTTGGCTGCATTGACTCTCTGTTTCCTGACTGACTGGTTATATGGCCACAGGCAGGTTATTTAACCTCATTATTACTTTCCTCAACTCTAATATAAGGGTTAATGATGCTTCCTTTGTAGTTGGCTATGAGATTTAAATAAAATAATGTACTGGTATTATTATAATGGTTCCTGGTAACAATTAGTAGCAATTAGTATTAAAGATAAAGCAATACGTTTGAACTTTTATCCTCGAATATGTCATCCTTGATAACTTCTTTAGATATATAAGAATCAAAAATAATATGGGAGAAATTTAAAATAAGATTATCCCTTTATAAGGTTTTAATCATTATTTTTAAAATGGTTTTGAAGTGACCCTTAAGCATTATCAGTCTTCAGTTGTCTGAGATTTCTCTAATCTTTGCAGAAAAAGTAAAGCAGCTATTAGAACATTAAAGACTAGAAACTTTTGTTTAGGAAAAAAATATTAAAGGTGAATTAGCAAGGTGAAGAATATAAATGGAAGCCATTTTTCAGATACTGGGCTAGTTCTTCTCTTCCTTTTACTTTTAAGGAATTATCTAGGGAATTTTGGTTGAAAATGAGTGGGGATTTTGTTAGCTTTGTTACAGTTTATATCTACCACAACCATTCCATTTCTCAATTTATCATTCACATTACTGGATTTAATCCCATCGTTAGAGCAGAGGCAAACTTTAGCTTGATGGAATTTACTTGAAATTTAGAGATAGTCACATTTTGCTAACTTGCATAAAATTTCAGATAAGGTAAAGCTTTCAACTCAGAAAAATCAATCTAATGTTTAAATAGCTTAGTGTTTGTTTTGGTTGATAGAGAAACTGGGAGGTATATTTTTTTATTATATCTTAGCATTTGAATGTATCCATAAAGCTTGCTCTTTACCAAGTCCCCAAGAAATGGAAGGTGTAAAAAAGGAGAAAATCTGAATAACAGTTAAAAAATTTGAGGGCTTATTTATTTATTACTATTTTAAAGTTCCATAAAGGCCAATTCATAGGGAAATAGAGACTTTGGTTTTGTAAACAGCTCATATGAAAAACACGAATTTCATTGTTATCCACCTTTAAGATCAAACACAGCCCATAATTGTATTTATCTATATTACTTGTCACATTATAGACTCATCAATTCTATTTAATATATATATTCCTGCTATTTGCAAGCAGTATGTTAGGTGCAGTTTGTGGCTATAAGATGAGAAATATCTGTTCTCAGTCATTGCAGGCTCATACTCTATTGGGGAATGTAAGAGGAACTTATTTCTAGTTGGAGAGGTGAGAGAAATCGTTTTGTGCTTTAAAGGAAAAGGGTTTCAATATGAAGAGCTGAAGGCAGCACAAATCACATGAGCAAAGGCACACAGTTGTCAAAGTGTCAGACAAATTTTCAGAATGGTGAGCAACTCAAGTTATTAGGAATCAGGGGAGAAGATAGATTGGGGTCAGATCATAAGATGCATCTAATATATTTTTAAGGAATTTTGAAATTACTCTGAAGATAATGGAATCATTGAAGATATTAGACACAAGTGAAATGATTAGAATTGTCATTTAAAATTATTACCCTAAAAGCCATGTGCTGGTTGATAGAATGGGAGAGATATTGGAGGTTGGAAGAGAGTTAGGAAGTTAAAAAATAATCCAGGTAAAGTATGATGGGGACTTCAGTTACAATCAGGGCACCCACTCCCAGAAAATACAGATAGTAGAAACGCAAGATGCAATGGATTCCACTGATAAAACCAAAGCATCTGAAGCAAGGAACGAGGAGGAAGCAGATGTCAATGTTGACTGTGAGTCCATGATTGGGAAGATGGTAGTGACAATGATATAAATAAGACCTATAGGAGACATGGAGAAAATTAATTTGATTTTGAGTTGAGTTAGAGGTACAAGGTGGTAATCTGAAGAGAAATTGTGGAATTTTTACCTGGACCACAGCTGCCTGTATATAGGCATGAAATGTGAGCAAACAATCTGTTGGCCTCTTCCTCTGATCTTGATACTCAAAGTGTAGTCCCTGACTAGTAGTGTGGGTACCACGTGGGACAATGTAGTCCCTGACCAGTAGCATGGGTACCACATGGGAGCCTGCTAGCCCTGCAGAGTCTCAGGCTCCACCCTAGGAGGACTGAATCAGAGCTGCATTTAAGCACGGTCCCTAGAAGATTCCTATGCACGTTAAACTTTGAGAAGTGCTACTCTAGCATAGAGCACTCTGAGAACAGATCTAGTAAAATCCAATGAAAGACAGTTCTCCAGAGTATTTCAAGCATAGCACAAATATTTAACTCATTTATCCAGACATTTTAGGGCAACACATATTTTGCCTGAAGAATCCAGGTAACTACATTTGCTTTTTATTTGTTACTGCATTCTGGTACCAGTGAAAAATGACTTTTTTGAAATTCAAAACAAAGTTTGATTCCAACCTAAATTTAATCTGCTCCATTTTTATTCTTAACTTCTATGAGATCATAACTCGTCCAAAGCAGAGTGCAGTTTATCAGAATGTACACATTTTAAACCTCCAGCAGACCTGTATTTTCAAGATAAAGCACATGGTTCCAAAGGAGATATTATATTTAGATAAATAATGTATGTTTTAATATTGGCTGTGTGGTTGTAGACAAGGCCATAAGATTCTTGAAGTACTTATAGTTTATTATCTTATCATGTAATAATTTTCCAAATTAGACCACAATGAAATAAAAGAAAGTCAGAATTTATTCAAACATTAAGGTTGCACTTTCCATTTCATACTGAAGCACAATCGCATACTAAAAAATAGATATGTTATGATTCTTCAGTTATTGGCTAAATTTACTCACTGAGAAAACTATGGATTTTTATGGGTGGTCTGATGCATGAGTCTCTGATATGTAACACAACCATAAGTGTGAAATTCTATTGAGTCCTTGAGAAATTGCTCTTGGATCCATGATTTTGGCAAATTTCCAGAATAGGAAATTTACTCATGTGAGAACAGAAACCTCTCTCACATAGTCAGCGATAATGTTATTGTCACATACATGTATCTGCTGCTTTTGTGGAAGATATTTCTCACCTGCTATTAAAATGGCATGTTTTGTTTTGTTTTGTGGTTTGCTTTCATTGTATCTCTGATTAGTGGTGTATTCCTCTGTTTGAACTGAGNGTTAGACACCATGGTCTAACCAGCTTATCACATCTCCATGAAGATGGCAGTTTGCAGACGGCATGTTTTCAGTGCATTAACAAACACCCCAAATGCGAGGAAGGCACAACCTGCAAATAATTGGAAATGTTATGTGTTAGTAAAGGAATTGCTCTTCAGTTTTCCAAGATGTCAGTCAGGAAGATGATGATTATAAGGATGAAGGGCAGAAAAGTGACTACGAAGCACCTAAAGGGTTGAATTCAAAAGAACAAGCTCTGACAAGGGTTCTGGCCTCCTGGTGACCAGCCCAAGGTGGTGCCTGCCCTGATAGGAAAAATGAAAAAGGTAAGATGAATGGGAACCTATTAAAAAGGGAAGAAAGGAGACAAAACACCAAAGTAAAAATTTTAGAATCCCTCAGAAGTCTCTAACTTTTACACATTAATGAATAAGACAACCTGAACTCTCCTTTATAGCCTTGACACAAAGAACTGGTAGTATTTTTTAATATAAAATGTTATATAAATAATCTTCACTTTACTTGTCATGTAGAGGGTGGTTTCTTATTTTGACGTGGAGATGAAAGGAAATGTATTCTCTGCTTTGACTATCTGTGAATTTCAGACATAAAGTTAAACTTTGAACTCTTCAAATGACTTTATACATGTTGATAGTGTCACGAAAAGTTCAGATTGGATTAGTTGGCTTTTGACTTTTCCAGTAGTTACCTCTGGGTTTATGTGGCTGTCACTTTAGCATCAGAAGCATTTTATTGCTTTAGATGTTTGCAGTCACTTATTGCTAATGATTTGCAACATCATTGTTGTTTATTTTATGATCTTTCAGATTCCTCCTTTTCTTTGACTCCATTAGGGCTTCCTGATAACATGACAGATAAGAGACCCCCTTGTAGTTAACAGTTCAGTTGTGCCATCTTGATTGTTACAGTTTTTTATAGGACCCTTTGACCAGATAATCCTTCCACAAATTGCATAGACACTAAACCATAGTTTCAAGATAAATGGTAAAATAAATGTGAAAATGTTTGAGTTTCTCTAAAGAAGGCTGCTATAGAAACTCAAAGTTTAGTTTGGCCATTATTTGATTATGTTCAAGTTTCCTATAAAATTCTAGATAAAATGCATTCTAACCAAGTTCATTTAAATACCATAGAGTTTTAGATTTTACATTTAAATAAAAAATATTTATTAATATTTCTTTTTATGGTTACAGAGTGATTATATCATTTTGATGCGGTCTTTTTTTTAAGAGTCATAAGAGACCTATTATGTCAGTCTTTGATTAATTGAGGAAGCGGGGGGCCTAGTAATTGGATATGTAGCCTTTCACCTTTAAGTCACTGAATCAAATCCAGCCCAAATTGGTAGTGACCAACAATGATTACAGCAGTGGCTTTTTGGTGTCCTCTGTGAAATGTGTTGAGGTCAAATGGAAGTATGTTGGGATAATTGTTGACAGGAGATGGGCTCATATCTATAGTCATTACTGCCTCTTTTTAGTCACCATTTCCAGACAAAAATAAGAGGCCCAGGGACTGAGAAGGCCCAGGGAACAGACATACCAGTGAGTGGAAAAGGTTTGTGTCTCTTAGGACAGAAGTAATAGGGACATCTCTTTATTATTGCAGGCAGACCTGCTCTATTATGAGACTTTCCTAGCTATTTCAATTAGTTTACTTAAGGTTTTAGTAAGATGAGGACTGAGAATGTCTTGATGAACAGTCTAGAGACCAAATTTGAACAGGTCTGGGCTAAGAGGCTTAACTTTCTAAAATTAAGCATGTACCAATCAGAGGAGAATGAAGGATGTTTTTTTTTTTTAAAGTGCTGGCAGCAGAAATACTATAAGACTGAAAGGCTCCCAGCACAACTTGGAAGTTTCTGTTACTGATTTCAAATGAGAATTATTGTTAATAGGAATAAAGTTATTATCGGCATGAATCACAGACACAGAAACCTGTTAACTTAATAATGTGGCAAATGTACTATTAATCTTTAGTGAAGCAATATTAATATATTGCCTAATCTAAGAAAAGGCTCCAGTGTCTTGAAAGCTTGAAATCATTTCTGCTTTTGCCTCAAGTTCTGAAATCATCCCCTTTTAAAATTTTAAATACTTTTCTTTCACACAAGCCTCTGAGTGTTCAGAAATAATTGCTGTCAATAGAGATTCATTTTCACCTTTGAATGACCAGTAATGTCAAATGGCAACATCATCAGCCTTAATATCAACATATTTTAAATGTATGTCTTGGAACTGAAGGTCAATAATGGCTATTAAATTTAAAATATGGAATTCTATGATATTGCATCCTTGGTACTTTGATTACCTTTATACCAGTGATTATTTCATCTGGAGGCAAAAATTGAATTCCAGCCTATCCCAATGGAATTTTTCTCTGCCTCCCTTGAGAAGTACGTTCTAACCATTTCCTTTGAAGTTTCTGGCAAACATGACTACATATAATTTTGGAACCTATGTAGTCTGTATTGGGAGTTTTAACCCGGCTGCAAGAGAGGCATTGTGGGCAATCGTGAAGTGTGGGCACTGATATCAGCCCTGAGCTGGGATGGCTGCTCTGCATATACTAGCAGGGTGACCACAAGCAAGTGCAAATCATTTAATGTCTCTGAGACTAAGATTTAGGCTGATAGTATGAGCCATGTAGACTTGCTGTGGAGATTAAATTAGATACTGTGAAGTCATCTTTTGGAAGCTAGGGCATATATAGGTGATCGATAAGTATTAATTTTTGTTCTTTACAATAACCTGGGCATCTAGATTTGGTAAGACGCATAACAATTAGTTCACCAGAATTTACAGTAGTTTATGTCAAATTTAAAAATATATGACATTTTTCAGAGAAGGCTCAGTCAAAAGAAATATCAAGTGTCACTACAGTATGAAGACAAAGAATCAGTCATTTGTGTTATCTGCACAGAAGATTCAAGGCTAGCTATGGTTCACTTGGTAATTTTGTACTCATTATTAATTTGTTCGTTCTAAGATGGGTTTACAACATTAATTACCATCTATGTGGGTAATAGTTTTATGTTTTTGTGTCAGCAGTGATTGTCGAGTCAGAAGGAAGGCTGGATTTGCTAAATCAGCCCACTTTCCTGCATTATTTAGAGCAAGGCTCAGCAAACTGTTCCGTAAAGGACCAGATAGAAAATACCTCCACGTATGCATGCTATTGCAACTACTCATGTCTTCTGTTTTCATGCCTAAGTAGATACAGTATGACAAACAAATGAGAGTATCTGTGTTCCAATAAAACTTTATGGACACCAAATTTTGAATTTCATATAATTTTCATGAGCCACAAAATAATTTTTGTTTTTTAGATTTTTTTCATCCATATAAAAATGTAAAAACCTTACTTTGCAGGGCATCCAAAAAAAGGCAGTGGGCTAGGTTTGGCCTGCAGTCTGTAATTTGCTGACCCCAGGTTTAGAGAAGCAAACATGGTACTAAGAATCAGAAGGTAGATTCTCCTTTTCCTTTCACTACTATTAACTGTGTGACCTACCCATACCCTCTAAAATCACTTCATTTTTCTGAGTCTCATCTCCCCTTCAACAAATTAAGTAGTGAATAAGTTAACCTCTAAGTTTCTTTTAAGCTCTATTGTTCTATGATAGATCAATACCATTTACTTATTAGTCATCTAAATTCTAGGTCGGGGGTTAGCAATCAGGATAGTCCCAAATTTCTTCCAAGACTTTTATAATCATTTGATATATGAAGAATATATGAAGAAAGAAAATTATATTTCTTCATAAGTAAGTTAGTCTTTGAACATTATCACATTAAAAAAATTTTTTTTAATCAGATATATTTATAATGGGTACTTTGGACTTGGTGTTTTTCCTCTGATTTCTCCACAGCATCGGGGATGATTCACCAAGGAACTAAGAGTGGGTGGGAAGAGAATCACTTGCTCATTAGTACTTATACTCAAGAGTACAGTGGAGGTGGTACTCAAATCAATCAATTTAGCTACTTGTTAGTACCAGTTTTTAAAGGCTTAATGAAGGAGGAAGGCAAATCCTTTGGCTACAGAGAGGTTGGGTAATTGCTTGTAGATCTCATATTTTCATGGGCTGCTTTTATGCCTTATAACTATGCACTCTGAAGAATTGTCTGCACCTACCGACAGACATTTATAGTTCTACAGGAGAAACAACATACCCAGATTCTCTTGAGGTTTGCCTCTGCCTGACCCAACTTAGCTCTTGAAATTAGAGCCTGTAATGATTAGAAGCATTTCTAGAATAACTGCCTGACGAAATGTATGAGAAAAGCTTTTGTTGGGATGAAAATAAATGTTCACTTGTCATGTTA